TCCTGCTTTGGGTGTCAACTTTCGCGGTTGCTAAGCAACAGAGCTTATGGCGGTAAAACCCGCCGAAGGGTAGAGCTGTTCGAATTCACAGCCAAAACTCTTCCGGTCTCCTTATTTTCAAGGACTTCGAAGGATCCAGTCTAGGTAGACCGCGTCCTTGGAGGATGCAGCCCAGGTTTTCGAACAGAGCACAGGAATACTTCCAGTGTTTCCCTCACTTTGGTCGCATCGATGGATAACGGCTGCTTTCTGAATCTCTCTCTCAAACAGTTCGCTTTTCAAATGCCTGTGTCAACCATGCAGAGCAACTGGATTTCAGCATGTACAAGAACACCGATGAGAAGAACCCCAGGAAGAAGAGCAGGCGGATAGTGGTGAGGAAGAGGATGATGATGATGATGATGATGAAGGCCTGCTGATTTCTGGATTGGCGAGCTTCTACTGTTGGGATTATTTATCAGTTTATGTTTTCTTCTGCTAAGGTTGCTGAATCAGAGAGGCTAAGTTATGTTGGTCAAAATTTTGGGGCTGAATCAATGAAATGCAACAACCTCTGCAAGTAAGTAAAGCTACATCTGTTATTAATTTAAATGGTTTTGCTTACTGTAGGAGTTATATTCCATTGTGCTATTTTAGTTTATTTTCTCCACTGCAAAATATAGTTATTGAGACTCATAGATCATCACAGTAGGAATTAAAGGAAAAGGTTTTAATAAAGGACAAATCCCTCAGCTAATTCAGCTTTGTTTGCTAATTGGTTGATGACGTCACCGCAGGTTTACCAATTGGGATGGAGGAGGAAGTTTCTCTAAACAATTGTATTTAGATGTGGAAAAATTCAACCAACAGTTGAACTTTTTTGATTTCACATTGGAAAATTTTACCTCTGCATTTAACCCATCCCCTTGGGGAGCAGTGAACCCTTAACCTCTTAAGGACTCAGAGTGGCAGTCTGTGAGGATCGAACCAGCTACTTGCAACCTTCTCAGAGCACAAGCTCACTGCTCTAACCCACTTGGCCAGCACTCCCCTTACGTGTTCCTTCACTGATCTTAGCCATAATGGCTGCTTGGTAAAACTGAAGCAAACAATATCTTCTCAGATATTATGTTGGAGTGCTGAACAAACAGACCATGCAAATGGAAGTACACAACGCTGTGTTGTTCAACATGCAGCCTGTTATCCCAGGTAATAAAACCAGTCATTTTAAAATCTTTTGAAATCTCTGAGAACGTTTCAGGAAAAGCTTGAAGTGATTATTTTTTTTTTTTACCAGGGGAGACGTCAACAGCTAAGCATCAGGATGCTGCTCAATCCTACAGAGACAGGGTACACTCACCAACCCCCATTCTTGAATAAACCCTCATGATCCAAATAACAGCGGTCATGTTTCAGCCCAATTGCTTTTTTTTGTTTTCTTCTTTAGGTTGACTTGTTGATTGAGGCATTTGGTACCAACAAACAGAAACGAGCTCTTGCCTCCCGTAGGCTGAACCAAGTGGGCAGCACTGCCCTGCAGAGCGCAGTGGCTAAAGCTGCCACTTCTGTGATCGATCAGAAGGGCCTTGAAGGTAAGGTCACCTGTTGCTTTGTCCAAATAAAATAAGGAATAAAATATAATGCCATTTTCAAGAGCTGATTCTGATTCTTAAGCTTTAAAAAAAAATGTTTTGTTTTTTTTTGATGTGTTCTGACCTGAAATTGCAGTGCTGATATAAAAAAAAGTTTTTAGTTTAACTGTTATTTATAAATTATTGATACCGGTATTAATATTAAGATTTAACATCAAATTAGTAAAGTTATGTTAGTTAATTGTAGCTGTAGGGACAGTGCAAATGCTTAAAATAAAATATCTTTCATTATATCAATCTTTATCATCTTTAGCTGCTTATTTCTTTTTTTTTTTTTGCTGAAACAGTTAATCGGTTATTGAAATAAATATCAACTAATGTAGTAATTGATAAATAGCTACTAGAGAATGGAAATTCTGAAACTTGCCCTTAGCTGACAGATCAGTTATACCATAATGTTCATAAAAAAAAAACTAAACTAAATAATATGTTGCCTTTAAAATGGAAAACCCTGTTTTATTCTATTAATATGCTCCATCCAGAACTTCTCAAGTCATATTCACCTGGTTTAAATTCAGTAAAAAAATTCAAGGAACCTTTTGCTGTTCGCTTGTTAATCAATTAATTGAAAAAAAAAAAGACAGGTTAATTGATTAGCAATATGATCATGGTTGGTCTGTTTTTCTATCACTTTATCAGATTTTATCTGTTATTCTTTCCAGCTCTCCAACAGGAAGTGGCGGAGACAGAGTCCCAGGGTGCTCTGGCGTCCCACCTGCCTCCTTGCAATCCGAACGCAGACCAAAGAGAGGACGTCTACCCATTCGATGAGCGTATCCTTTATTTCCTTCATGTCTGTGTGTGACTGTAAAGTTGCGATTGTAAATTAATCTCCACAGCAGAGCTTTTCTTCACCCTTAACTCACCTCCTCAGTGCTGGATCCAGTGGAGTTTGCTGCACTGGAGCAGCCTGGATCCAAGATGGCAGCACTCACCCCAGAAGAGCTGAAGAAGATGAGAGATGAAGGAAGGTAGGGTAAAAAAGGTCTCACCCTTCCTGAAATATTTCGGGTTTACCAGAAGGTTTGCTGCATGATGAATTTCATCTATACTTCTTGAAGGTGCTGGAGTGTTGTGAGGCATTTAGAGAACATGCCAGCTGTGGGCGAAGCCAGAGAGAAAGCGGCACGCTGCGCTTTTTACCTCTCTCTGCTCCTCAAGCTGGCGAGGCAGAAGACCGTCCCACGCAAGTGTGAGTAAATCCACCTTTCTACCACTTATCTTTTAAAAATTCAAACCTAAAATAACATTTATTGCACACAAATGAGACATTTTCTACCCTTTATTTCTTGCCGCTTAGATTTTTTTCTGAAAATAAAACCCATAAAATCAGTATCTCAGTAAATAAGTTCAATTCATACAAACCTTTTAATATAAGCTCCTGTTTAAGTTAGAGAAAATACAATATGTCATAGCAAACATTTAGCAAAGCTCTCAGGGTCTTTGGATAGTATGAAGATGTTTCAGGTATTTAGCTCAAACACTCGGAGGTCCAATTTGGAAAGCAGATAAAATGTTCTTGTAACTCAGCCCGAGGTTCTGTCTTTATTGCCTCCCTGATGCTGACTGAATGTTCAGCCGTACAATTTCCAGTCATCAGAGGGGAAAACAATAAGTTCATCAGAATGTCTACACCTTTTGCCATAATGCTTCACACTTAATGCATATTTACTCTCCAATAATCACTGTTTCTGGACAGTTGGACACGATGAAGGCTGCCCTCGCATCATTCAGAGCAAGCTGTTTAAAACTTTCACTGTGGAGTCTTTTAACAACGGGAGGTACGATGACCAAGTGACTGTTAGCTCTGTTTGCTGTTATTTGGAATATGTTTTGTTAAACAACGCCTCATTCTGCAACATGCATTTCTTTACCCTTTTTTCCTCCCATGTTTAGGGTGCAGAACATAGTTTCAACATCAATGCGTTCGAAGTTAGCAGCATATAGCCTTGCTCTGCTGCTGCATATGGGTCAAATGACTGCCGACCTCTCGCTACTGCATCGGGATCTGGGAATCACTGAACCCAAGTAAGAGCTGCTTTCATTCTCAGTGCTGTTAAAATTTTTTTTGGTCACATTCAAATGTTGGAAAGCAAACAGACTTTATTACTGAGTACTATAATCTGAGTAACAGTTTTTAAATGGTTAATGATGGAACTATAAATTACTCTACCAGAATATCCTCTGTAGCAGTGAAAATGGAGGATGCCCAACTCTGAATGTCTCAACTTTAAGTCTTCGAAGTGGCCTAGTTAAAGCCTGGTCTCATTTGTATTTTAAAAATTCCCCCACAAAGTGTAAGGTTAAGTTTGCCCCTTGTAACTCATTTGTATTTATTGTGGTTTTGTCATAATGTTAAAACAAATGGAGAAATTAGGTAAGGACATCATATGATGATATGAATCAATCAAGGAGACTTGAGTAAATATTTAGATTTCAGTGTGTTACTGAAGTCATGACAGTATTACTGGTAGTAAGGATATTTTCTTTTATTTTTTTCCCTCCCTTTCTTAAATAAAATATGACCAACTTGTTATATACAGGATGATCGAGGTTGCAAAGTCCATGGGGCTGTCTTTGATCAAACCACCCCGGACCAAAGGGGACGAGGCTGCGCAGGGTGGGGACCACAGACTGGCCACTGTTGTCTTACCGCTGGTCAAGTACGACCAGTTTGCTGAGAGACGGAAACGCAAGAAAATGCATTAAGGACTGAAGAAACAGGTGGAGAGACTGAAAGGAAATGGAAACACCACAAAGAGGAGCTGTTTATTATGTTTTGTAGACAAATAAAGTGGGTAAATGTGAGGTTCCACGTCTTATTTTGGTATCTGTTGGGAATGTTAAAAAAAAAAAAAAAACCTCTTAGTAACCAAACATCCAGCTTAAAAGTACAGGCACATTTGTAGACTTCACATATTGCACACTGAACATCCTTTTCCTTCTACTGGTTACAAGAAAGTGACAAAGCCTGGAAAACTCCCCTTCAAACACACATTACAAGAGGCAGAAGCTTAATGTTGGCTTTTTGTTGCATATTCACTTCATACAATCATCTCTCCAAACCCCTTTGCTACAATTTTTCATTTAAAAATGTCAAAAGAGGAACAAATGTACCAAACCAGATATAGTTTCTAAAGCCTCATCCTGCTGCTTGGGTTTGTTAAAGTGCACGTTCTAAACACAAACTATCAGAAGCAGAAAGACAAAGACAAGTCTGTGGTGACAAGGAACAAGTCTAGAGATATCTGGATGGGGTTGATCTTTTGTTTTATTAAATTTTCCCAGCTTTCCCTAAAAAAAAAAAAAAAAAAACAGGTTCCCTTTTATAAAACTGATCTCACAATTCTTTCAAACTGTCCTTTTAAATGATAAACTTCACCTGACAAAAAAAGTCAGTACTTTGTTTTGATCAGTTGCTGAAGTGAAAGCAACATCATCCCCCCCTCGAGTGTTTGTCCAGTAATTCACAGGATGGAGCAGAACATGCTGCCGTTGTGACAGCCGCTCTCTACAGCAGCCCCGACCCTGGTGGTCATTGAAATGCCAAGCCGGGAGGGATACTGGGAGGACGAGAGGCCTGCAGGGGAGCTGGCCAGAGGGCGAGGAGGAGGGTTTTCCAGCACACAGGGTGGGGAACCACTGCAAAATATGAAGAGAAATAACAGGGATAAATAAGTGGTGGCTATTGAAGCTTATTCCAGTGCCTGTTTGTAAACCATTTTTTTTTTTACTTTAATCTGTATTTATAGTTTAGGCCTTTTTTTTTTATATTAATAAAACCTCTTGAACAGATCCAGTTCAGTTCATTGGTTTATTTAGAATTGCTCAATAGAAAACAAATCAGTAACTTCCTAAAGTGGGACATTGCTTTTTAGAAATAAAATTCTGAAAAGTGTGGCTGGCATTTTTAATCGAAAAACTTTGTTGGAATATTCATACATTTAGGAGTCAGGTGTACAAACCCTACTAGTTTTATTCCCTGGGGTTGAGATAAGCTTCCCAGCATGCTTTTCCATTTTATAGCTGCCCCTGTTTTAGCAGAACCTCAGATCAGCTTTGCTGTTACTGCTGAAGAAAAGCATCCACACATCAGGATTCTTATAGCAAAGATAGAGATGGTGTTTATTAAGTGTTCTGTAGGCTAAAAATAGGCCCAAAAGTCAAATTTAGGCTCATCTGTCTAGACGAGTGTTTCCCAACCTTTTTTGTCCCTTTGGACATTTTGGATTACCATGAGTACCCCTCTCAGTCAATTAATCATTTTCTAAAAGTAGAACATACAATAACTGATTATAAAATAAAAACGATTTAACTTAAATCTTTTAATTTGAGCATTTAATTCTTGGACATTTTATTCTTTCCATTGCAAAAAACAAAACAAAAATATAAATGTGTTTCCTGGAAGTTAGTAAGGAACTGAAATAAATGCAGAATAAAGTCCTATCATCAACCTATATTTATAAAAACGAGCTCCTCTGAGTAACTCCCTTATGGTCAGATTTAAACTTAAGGAATTGGGAACAAAATACAGAACAAAAATGATAGTCAGCCTGACTTAATTAGATTTACTTTGTTTTCAACCAAATACCTGAGCTGCTTTGATAAACTCCGGTATCTCAGTGTGAAAAACAGCTGATACCAGTCTGTTCCTCTGCATGGTTTTGACACGTGTCAAAGCTGAAGTTGAACTCAAACATATAAGGAAAACTTACTTTTTGGTTGATAAAAGCTTATTTAAATTTTCAATTGGTCCTCACAAAGCAAAACAGATCCCAGCACTATTTTATTTTACTACCAAAGAAAAGATTTTCATGTACCCCTTGCAATGCACTCGCTGACCACTAGGGTTACGCATACCCCCTGTTGGGAATCCCTGCTCTAGAGTACCTTACTCCACATAAATGCTGTGTTCCCTATGTGGCTTATGGAAAAACCTTTAAACAAGATTTCTGATAGCCATCAATAACAGTTTTCTGCATCTAGTTTCCCCGTAAAGTTAATCATTTCTATTTAATGGATTATTTGTTAAATAGCGCTCCAAGCTTTCACTTTCTATTTTTATCACCAATGATAAACATTTTTACACTAATATTCTCCAACAAACATCTGAGGGTCTAAGATTAATGTGCACATGTGGGCTTTATCACTTTTTATCTGAACAGTAAAGTCATATCAGAGTTAATGATGATCCATCACACACACAAACACCCTAACAGTTTCAGATGCATTTCTGAGAATTCTCTCCGTCTCTAAACTGCCCTACTCTGTGTGGGTCTATCACAAAAAAACAGAATGAGAAAAAATCTGAATAAATTTAGAAAAGCAGTTCTGGCCTCGAGCAAAGCCTTCGAATGACAGCGTTTGCATATCTTTTCTTTAAAATTAGTTTGAACACCAACATGTCCATCACATTAACAGGGAAATTCAATTAAAAGCTCTTTTCTAATGTAGGTGTTTGGGATTTTGTTCCTAAGTTTAGGATAATCACTTGCACTGTAAAATTAGAACTTATAAAGTTCTGGGTTGGAAAAGGGAGACTCTTAAATTAACTGGCTAGTTTTTACTAGAAAATTAAATATTTCTTTGTATTGCTTTACAGCAGGAGTCTGCAATATTATTTGGCTCTCTAGATTATAATTTATAATCTAGAGAGCCAAATAATAAATATCACCGTGCCTCAAATTGAAGGAAAAAACTTGCAAAAGGAGAACAAACCCATTCCGAAGGGTTACTGAAATTCTTTGGAAAATATAGTAATAAAAAAAAAATCCCACTTAAAAAAGATCCAAAATATATATATTAGTTATATTTAAATTCAATTTAAGGTCAATTAATTTTGGAATTTCAACATTTTTACCGCATTGGCCTGAATACAAGACATTTTTTTCTAGTTAAAATCGATGTGAAAATGAGGGGTGGTCTTATATTCAGGGTCTAACCAATTATACAGGCTGGCAGTTGTCTGAGGCTGCTACACGAACACAAAAGCAGAGGGGGCGCCATTTTTTTTTTTTGTAAAGCCAGTGTGACCTCATGTAGATGGAAAACACAACAGAGAAGTGACAAGGGTGGTAGAAATGGAGAGTCGCTCCCCAGAACGGAGTGGATCAAAAGTTTGCAGACATCTGAGGTAGAGTTATGACGCCAATTTTAAAATAATGGTCGTCAACGCAGGGGAGGGGTCAAATAACTGTCAGGCACTAAAGAAATATGGCGTTACAGTGTGCAATGTCAGAAGAGGGAACGTTCAAAAAGACTACGAACAGCTAAAGGAAAGTATCAAAAAATTGCAGGGCTGCATTGTGGGAGTAGGAGTGACAGCGAGTACAGCGGGGAAGAGGATGCTTATGAGTCATGCAGGTTTTTGAGACGTTCCATGAGCAAAGTTCCACTTGCATTCCAGTTGAAGTGTTGCAAAATTTCACCAATGTTTCATTGCACCAATCTTTCAATAGAATATTATTTCAATGAAATTCTTAGCACCTAAATATAAAATAAATGTACTTTATCAGTCTTTATTTTCCTTTTTGTTTTGTTACTAAAACTGGTCATGGAAAGAGGGGGTTGTCTTGTCTAATCAGTGTCGACCTATAGTCGGGTCAGTATGGGAGTATGTAGGAGGAAATGTTCACCAGCATTTATTAGTATATCTATTTTAGCAAAGATTAGCTGGCTCTTCATCATTTTCAGCCAAAGTGATGAAGATCCAGTGTCGAGTGTCTAAAGAGCCACAGCCTGCAGACCTTTGATTTATAATAACATTTTGACGTTTGTGGCCATCTACCATCAGTGACGGTGAAAAAGGAGCACGGAAGCACAAATCGCAAGAAAACTACGTCTAACTTTGACACTTTCTAGGTAGAACTGATGCAGCCAAATTTTCCCTCAGAAAATCAGCAGAGGCTGCTTGCTTTGACATTGAAGGGAGAAGAAAAAAAAAAGTCACTTTTCACTCAGTTGCTTGGTTACCTGTCATTATGCCTTAGAATACTGTTGTTACGCAACATGCAGCTTTCATTTCCAGCATCCGTGTGTAGGAGTGGTTTCTTGTTTTCTGGGTGACCCTGGAACAGGATATTGTCGTGGACGACACCTTTCACTGGGCCCAGCAGAGCAATACCACAGCCCTGGGCTGGTTGGACACGGTTACGAACCACCTGAAGACCAAAAATCACCAAACTCACATCATATGCACAGAGGCAAAGATCTGAATATGAGCATCTCTGAAATAAGTCTAAAAAAACCATCTTACCTTGATATCAGTGCTTGCAGAGACCTGGATGCCGTAACCGCAGTTACCAACCACATCATTCTCCACAATCTGCCCACTGCCACTGAACCTGACACCGTGGCCCCTGTTTTCATAGATGCCATTACCGCGGAGCTCAACTCTGCAGTCCTTTTCCACTGTAACACCGCCCCGGCCGTTTTCCACGATGCAGTTAGTAACGAGGCGGGTCAGCTGAGTGCTCTGCAGCACGGCGACGCCTGGGCCGCAGTTCCTGTTCATAAGGTTGGCAAAAACATTCAGGGCCTCGCTGCTCTTCACATACAGGCCGACCGCTACAGAAAGGCAGAAACAGGGAGAATTATGAGGGAAGATTTGGTGCTTTAAGAAAACTCCTCGAAAGGCTTTATTTAGTTTGTTACATTCTTCATGTTGCAACCACTGTGGATCACATGGGTTTGAACTTTTTTCTATAAAAAAGCTCTTTACCTTAATACCTCTAAATAAAATTCCTATTGCTTTTACAAGTTGCTTAAATTGTGCTGTGCCAGATGATGGTGGCAGCATCATGCTGTTCAGATGCTATTAGGAGGAAGAAGGGGACGTAACCACAGTCTTTCCTGGAAGTGTCATCGATGACACTAATTATACAGCCAGAGATAAAAGAAATAGCTTAGTCTAAAGCATATTCACATGTGTTAGAATGACCCCGTCAAAGACCAGACCAAAATCAGCTGTTTTTCAGTGGCTGTAATGTGACAAAATGTAAACAAGCAGAAAAGGCATGCATACTTTAACCAGGAATACATGCATCTTTTGAAACACAGCTTAGTACCTCCATTGTAGCTCACACAGTTGCCCTCCATCAGCGCCACGCTGACAGAACGCCGAGCAGAGTGTCTCTCATCCTCGCTGTCTAGATCGCTCTCCCAAGCAAACAATTCCCCTTCTTCATTGAAGTTCTCCTGTCCTTCCCTGGCTTCTCCTTCCACTCCCCTCCTTTCCCCATTGCCTATATCTCCACCAACCCCCTCCTGAATGGGCCAGTTCCCCTCCCTGGCTTCAATGTTGTCCGGATCTTTCCTGCAGAACACCGCCAGTCCGTACATACAGTTATGAACAATGTAATTCCCCAAGAGCTGTGGGAGGCTGGATGACATAACCCACATGCCGCAGCCTTTGTTACCTAAACAAATCAAAGTAGGTGAGCTTATAACTGCACTCTGGTATAAAATGATACAGTCCACCATAGTGAGGCTGAAGGGACTTACAGTAGACATGGTTTCCCTCAATAAGTCCTCGTCCTCTCTCTCCCACCACCACTCCATCAGAGTAACCATAACAGATAAAGTTGTTCCTCAGTATTGGGTCCCCTCCTCTTCTGATGTCCACCCCTCCCCACTGGTTCTCTCTTATCACATTTTCTAGAATAATAAAAACAAACATATTTGCATTAATAGTCTAGTACAAATAAAGAAATATTGCTTAGTCATCAATGCAAACCTGTTATCAGCCCTCTGCCATTCTCGTTGATGGCAATTCCTGCTGCCTGGCCCTGGAAGATGCGATTCCCACTACAGGTAGACAGAAACAATAGTTCAGTCATGTTGAAGCTTTCAATTTGGGGAGTGGTGGACTAGTGGTTAGGGCATAGAGATTGCAATCCTGAGATTCTGAGTTCGAGCCCCACTCCCACAGACTGCCACTCTGGGTCTCTGTGCAAGACCCTTAATATGGGGCCAAAATTGTTGTTTTATTATTTACAAATGTGTGTGGAGAGTTGTATATCTGTATCTCGATTTGTGCGTGTGCAGGGGGATTTGAAAATGTGTAAATGAAACTGACAGTGAGTGAGGAGATTTGTGTGTCTGTACAACAATCTGCAAATGTGCAAAACTACTTGTGTGTCTGTAATCTGGTTTGCAAATGTGTAAAAAAATCCACAAATCTGTATTCAGATCTACAAATATGTACTGAGATTTACAAATCTGTAGTAAGATTTGCAAATGTGTAGAACAATCTGTAAACACACACAGAGACGGCTACAAATAATCCATGGGTAAGCGACTTAAGTGTAAAAAAAAAATTCCTTTTTTTGTTTTTTTTGGGATTATTTGTAGCCGCAAACGTTCGAACCATCTCGCTGTTAGCAGCCATCTTTCCTTGTCAAGTCAACTCCCGCAGCGGGGAAAAAAAAAGGAAGAGGAAGAGGCAGCCTGCGAGCCTGCGCCCAGGGCAGCAAATCCAGATATTACAGATACAAATCCTTTTACGCATTTGTGCATCTCACATGGCAGAAGTGTAGTAAAAATCACGTGTGTAAAGAGAGCCAACCGAGAAACCGCTGGACTTGTAACCAATGATGTGTCTATATTTCTGGGTGTTAAAGCGAAAATACTTCGGACACAGTGTCAAATGTCGGACACATTTGAAAATCTTACTACAGATTTGTAAATCTCAGTACATATTTGTAGATCTGAATACAGATTTGTAGATTTCTTACACATTTGCAAACCAGATCACAGACACACAAGTAGTTTTGCACATTTGCAGATTGTTGTACAGACACGCAAATCTCCTCACACATTTACAGTTTCATTTACACATTTTCAAATCCCCCTGCACACGCACAAATCGAGATACAGATATACAACTCTCCACACACATTTGTAAATAATAAAACAACAATTTTGGCCCCATACTTAACCCCACACTTTTTATTTTCATAAGTAGGCCAGTGTCAGCTTAGGTCATAGAGTTGATGCACAGAGACGAGAAGGACGAAGAAACAGATAAGGAGGGATAGGATGACCAGAAGAAGATGAGGGGGAGAAGAAGCAGGAAAGTAGACCAGGACCCTTTATAAAAAATAGGTTGTCAAATCTTTAGTGAGCAGTACTGGATTGCGTGTAAATCTTTGCATTGAATTATATTGATCTCCTGAGATCTGAGGAGTGTAATGAGTTGTTAATCCAATCTCCAGCTTTCTGTATTCTAAATAAAATTGTTAAAAGTAAATTACAGGACTACCTTGCATTTCATCATAAAGCTTTGGTTTTTGTTTATATTAAAGTTGAAGTCTGTAAGTTTTTAAAAATCACTTTTTTGTCATATTGGCTAAAACTGTCCCTATGCCCAGACAGCAGTACATGTGATATGTAACCTGTGAAAAAAACTGCTTCAATTGGTCCCGCCTACTGCCTGTATTTCAATCTGGAAAAGAATATTTCGGGACGAGTCAAAACAACCAATCACAGCCAGAGGAGCGTCTGATGGAGCGTCAATCACAGCTCACACACGCTGATTGATTTAAGAATCTGAATCTGTAACTAATTAAAAATGGTATTTTACTTCCATCACTAAACATAAAAAGATTGTTAAAAAAGAAAAAAATGTCTGTGTTTTTATATTAAAATTATGGTTCCACTTGTATTTGTAATGGGATCCAATCAGCTGCCTCTCCAAACAACGTTTCAACCGCGGCCCTCCCCTGAATCTCAATAAACCAAGTGATAAAAAGGGGACTGATATGTACAAAAAGTCTGACCATAACCTAAAAGAGCACAATGGGGATGAATTAGAACAGAGACTGTGAGCTAAAGCTTTCTGGTCCAGCAGCCAAATGTTCTACTGGAAGAATGTCAAATATTCCCATAAAAACACAGATAAACCCTGAAGACTAATTTCCCAGACAAGTTCTACAGCTGCAAAGGTTTGGCCACAGACTTCAAGTCTTAGTATTAAAGGGAGATAAATAGTCTTATACTTTTGGCAACAGTTTCCATTTCTAATTGCTGAACATTCTACGCTAAGTGGACTTACGAAAACTGTTGTGGGTGTCATGCTTTCCAGAGATAAAAAAAATACTTAAGAAATCCAGAGTGAGGGGCGATCATGATTCATGCACAGTTAATAGTATCTAAATATTTAAGGGTTCAACACCCAAACAATTTTAAGAAAGATAGATGTTGGTGCAGTCCGACTTACCTCACCACTGGGTTCCCGCTGAAGAGAATGTACACACCAGCTTCTTTGTTGTTATAGATCAGGTTGCTCCTCACTGAACCTTTCCCATTGCCAAGGACAACAACCCCAGAGCGCAAACCGCTGTGGATCTTATTGCACTGTGGAACAAAAAGACAGAATCTCAGAAATTCAGCTCCCTTTGTGCCAGCATTCTCAATAAAATTCATTTAACAAGAATTGACATTTAACTGTTAGAACAGGGAAAGTATTTTTCTATACCAACTGGCACATAATTTCATCAATAAAAAGTTTAACTTTATTATACAGTGTATATGACTTACCAGGATGATGGGGTTTGCCCCTTTCCGGATGTCCAGTCCAGCCTCTCCGTTGGAGTGGATGTTGTTTTCTGCTATGAGGCCCTGAGCAGAAAGGCGCAGGAACACACCCGAAGCACGGCACTCGCACACCTCATTTCTTAGCATCACAATCTAATGAGAGAGAGAGAACAAACCAGCAGCTCAAATAACAGCTTGAGAAGGAAGCTGCTTTAAATTACCCATGATCTGAGTCCCTCAACTTGGTATAATTAGGAATATACCTTGTGATATCTAAACTTGTAAGGATATACTGTGATTCTCAGTGTGCACACCTCTGCTAAAATGTTATTTTAAATGGAAAAAACTAAAACAAAACAAAAATTCGCTGATATCTTAATTTATTACACCTATTAGATGTTAAAAACAAAAGAACAATATGGTTAAAAAACACACCAAAAACAGCATAACAGCTGTAAAGTAATATTTCATAGAACCGAGTTTTGATGCTTTTCAGCATCAGCCCACATCTTCACTTATATATGAAAACTCTTTAATTTCCATATGACCTCTTCAATTAGCCATAAATTTCTTTTCGGATTTGGTTCTTGAACCTGGTAATGCCTTTCAAAAACTAACTTAACTTTCCCCCCAGAAAGTCACTCTAATGCAAACTGACATGCTTGCTTGGACTTCCTGGACAACCAACAATATGCAGTAAGTTCGACTTTCCAATCTAGCACAATAAAATATATTGGGTCAGTTTTTAAAACCGGTCATAACTTAATTTGAACTGGTAAAAACATATATTTTATCAAAAGAACAGCAACACCAGAGCATGATCTCGCCACCAACATGTTTCACCATTGGAATGAGTTAATTTGACACCAAGCATCTCCTTTCAACCATAAAACCACCTCTCATGGTTCATAAACATTGCTGTTGAGGGTTCCATACTCTTGATTAAGTAGATAAAAACAAATAAGTTAGTAACCTCCCTGCAAACTATGGTTTTTGCAAAAGCATGCAAATATGGAAAAGTTTGGAAGTGATCAATAGGCGATCGCTGAAGTTCAATGCAGATTGATAAAACTGAATATACTTGATAGTAGATCTTAAAATCAAAGCTGAAATTAAAATGAAAAAGTGTTTTAGGAAAGTATTAATTTCAAGGTTTGCACACTTTTAATAACCAGGTCACTGCACCTGGAAGGGCAGCACCTAAAGCTCCAGCTTTATTCTTAAAACTTGCATCTTTTCAATTTTCATTTTTAATACCCCACCCTCAGCAGATTAGCTTGTTTTTGGGTCATAAATGAAATAAAATGTATACCCATTATTTCATTGTTTTACATCACAATATCCTGATATTTTAACAGGGTGTGCAGACTTTTGAAAGCGATTGTATTTGAAACATTTATTAGAGAATAAAAACAGCAATTTCAATTACTGTGGAATGCTGGATGCAGCGGACGGCATAGTTCAGGCCGCGGAACACGTTTTCTTCCAGCCGAGCCTGTCCATAGTTTGACAGGTGAACACCCCCCTTCCCGTCCCTGAACAGGCAGCGCCTGATGATGCAGCCGAGGATCGATGATGCCAACATCTGGGCCTCGGGGTCTCTGTCTAGCTCCTGCTGAAGGTTGAGGGGTTCAGGCGTTACAGATGGGGGGTCAGGGGAGCAGGCTAGTGGCAGAGAGCCATCCGCCCGTGTCTTCAGTAAATGGGACAGCCCATGGTGGTCATAAGGGATTTTGTAATCCAGTCGACAGAACTTCTTGGTGGTTTTAATTCCCTCTTGGCTCTCCTGCTCTCCATCGCTTCGCTCACCGTCACTCCAGCCATCTTCTATAACTGTGCCCCGACATGCTGCATCTCCACCTGTCCGTCTCCTCCAGTCCTCCATGTTAACGTTGTCCCTTTTAAAATTACCATCAGCCTCAGCAATGGAACTTCCTTCAGGAATCCTGGAGGTGCCGTCAGCCTTAGGCGGGAACGTTCTAGCCAAAGCAGCCAAGTGCTTGCAGGCCCAGTTTCTTTCCGATGCCGGAGGACCCTCCACCGTCACTGAAGCGGTGTCGCTACCCGAGAAATCACAGCTGTCCATCAAACTGAGCACCACGCCAAGCAGGTGGGCAGAGCTGCCCTGGGAGAAGGAGCAAAAACGAGCCTGGCACGTCCCGGGGCCGCGGACCTGCAGCTGGGCTCCTTCAAAGTTGCAGTTATCTAGTTGAACGTGACCCCATGATGTCTGCAGGGAGACAAGGACAGTAATGTGATTGGAATCAGACCCACTCAGCAACAAAGACAAAACCATTATCAGGACAAGTATTGACGGTATTCTTCCTTGCAAAACAACCTATGCTACACCCATGTAGTAAAAGAAAAAAAATGTTCTATAAAGTGTAAAAGAAAAGGGGTTGCATTTAATCATCTCAATTCACATTTTCAAGTCTTCCTGCAAAATCTCAAAAGGATTTAGCTCCCCTTATCAAATCTGAAGCAATAGATTTATTTATACTGAGATTAAATGATGCACAGGAGGACAATCTACCAATTAGCGTCATTCCTGCCCGAGGCCGTCAACCTGTACAATTAATCTCTCTGACAATCATTTCATTACTTATTATTTATTCATTTAATTACCTCACTTTGCACAACAACACTGTCATGTGCAATAATAACAATTTATGTACTGAGCAGCATTGTATATTGTTAATACTGTTGATTGTACATACTGTGATCCTTATTTTATTCTTATCTTATTGTATTCCTATATCTTATTTTACACTGTTTATATGGGAAGGGTGTAATTTTACTTACATATTTTATAAAGTTTTATATGTTTGCTCTATTTTACTTCTGTAGACGGTTTCACTGCAAGAAAATAATTTTCTGCAAGGTTTTAATAAAGTAATTCTGATTTTGAAATAGTTGGCTTATAAGGAAAAACTTGATCAAGCATGCTTAGTCGATGCAATCAACTGGTTTTCCTTAGATAGAAAACTTTGAACCAATTTGACTGTATGATCTGGTGAACTGTAAAGTGCCTTGAGATGACATTAGTTGTGAATTGGCGCTATATAAATAAACTGAATTGAATCAATGGTAAACCTCCTGATGTGCTCAATATGGCACACATCTCTCATTTGTTTTTGTAAAACAAAATGAATGTGAAACCGATGGAACCTTTTTCTGTCGCTGTGCGATCATGCACTGCTTTGTGTTGGTCTATCAGGTGAATTAAACTTTAGTTTGTGGCTGCAGTGTTAGGATAAATGTTTTAACAGTGTGAATACTTTTTAGGGTACTGCGTGACAAGCTGTTACAACACCTTGTAGACAACAGTGGAGAACCAGGGTGGCATAAACACCAGGTTACAGAGCCGGGCAGTTGGGCACTGCTGCTCAATGCAAACCAGGAGGGCCACCTCACCCAGCCGCCCGACGCCAACCAGCTCCACGGGGACTTTCAGCACCAGCTCAGCTTGCTCCTCATACACCCCTGGATGGAGCACCACACGATCGTAAGGCCCCACCGCTCCAAGAGCCCCACGCAGGGTCTCAAACTCGCACCCGGGGCCCACATGCAAAACCCGGCGGTCTTTTCGTCTACGGAAAAAGAGCAGGCAGGCGGAAGACTGCAGCTCCTGCCCGTTTCGGGTCCAGGTGCGGGTGGCGAGGGCGTGCTGTTTCAGGGCCTCCCTCCAGGATGGGGGCTCCAGGTGGGGCTGACTGGGCCAGTTGGGATGCCGACACTCAGGACAACCCAGGCAGAGCTGCCTCCAGCGGGTGTTATCAAGGGAGAAGATGAGCTCCCTCCAGGCACGACACACCTGGCAGCAGCGGCCCAGGTCAGGGAGGGGGAGGTAGGCCAGGATGACTCTCCACAGCTCCACGGGGAGGCTCCCCACCTCCATGGCAGCAGAGACACCTGGAGACAGGAGCAAAACAACAGGGAACCACACAGGTCAACATTAATAAACACACTTAATCATGTGATACTATTGCTGTTATCATAGAGTGGAAAACAATGGTAAATGTTAAGAGTCAGGATATATTCTTAATGTTTATATGATAAACATCCAAAGCTTTGCTTCCTTCAAAGTTTGCAAGAAATAAAGATGGCCAGCTAGCAGGACTGCACCGCTGGTTGATGCAACTTATTGCGCAACTACCGTTAGCTCCACATGATGAAGAAGAAAAACCCTACCTTTCAGCAGTTCGCCATAAGTGGACGGATCAACACATGTCGGCTCGATGTTGGAGCGCTGTTTACCGAGCGCTCCATGTCCGCCTGCGGGAGAAGCTCCTCACAGCCGCCGCTGCAGCAGCTGCTGTTCGCCGCAGCGCGTCATGGTGGCTGCAGATCACAAATATGGAGCTCAGAGCGGAAAGGCTGCCAGTTTACGGCGAGAGGCGAACACAGGTCTCCATCTTCCGCTTCCAAAAAGTGGGCGTTTACCTTTAAGACCCCATTTCCCTGTGCGCCCCCTCCCCTTCCTCCCTCCTTCCACGCAAAAGTACTGGCGCGCGCCATCAGGCAAAAGGGCGGATCTCACATATATTTGTCCCTGGGCCAGCCTATTTGTTGGGGCCCCAACAATACATGCATGGATGTTTTTTATGGAAGCAAATCGTTACCATATTTCAAATGAAAAAACATTTTCAGAAATGCTTTTTCATTGTAAGAATGTGGCTGCATTGTTTGACTCATAAATGAAATTAGTAATCAATAATCCTGTTTGCATTTAAATTTTCTTCTTTAACACTGCTCATCCTTTTATTTAATTAAAATGTGTTTTAAATTAAAAATTTAAATAAAAATTTGTCCACTACACCTTTACTTTAGACAGCCTGGATGTTTAAATATATGCATCCAGTTGTTAGCAAAGGCTGTAGGAAAGTATAGTTTGGCTTTATTTAGAAAATATAGAAGTTGTTGTTGTTAATTTTCTTTTGGAACAGTGTATGTGTATGAGATGACATGTATTGTGAATTGGCGCTATATAAATAAACTGAATTGAAT